ACAGTGGGCCTTACGACTATGTCAAATTAGTCCCTTAGACAGGCTGTCTGTCTGTGTCTGCCCTCTATCGTTTTGACGGTTTCTATTTAGCCTGATTGTAGTTGTCTTATCACGCGTGCATCAGTTTGTCCAACCGACTGTTTTCTGTCCTTCTCTGTCTGCACCTGTCTGCGTCATTGCACCTGTCTGCGTCATTGCCTGCCGCTGTTCATTCGATTTTGTATGTTAGCTCGTTTGCCTGTCTGATTATGTCTGTCGGTTTGTCCCTCCGACTTGTGTCTATCAGTTTGGCATTCCGACTGTGTTTATCAGTTCGGCAGTGTGTGTCAGTCAGTTCGTCTTGTCTGACTCTGTTTGACTGTCTATTTGTCATTGACTGCAAACGTTTGCTCGTTGCCACCCGTATCTCGCCTCTAAAGTAGTTTGTATCTATTTGTTGTAGTCTGTGCCTGATGGTTCGTCTGCCCGACTGCGTCGCGCGTGTTGCCTTACTGCCTGTCGCAACCTGTCCGGTTGCCGGTGTCTGGCTGTCTGTCTGTTTTGCCTGACTGCCTGATTGTCTGTTTGTTTTTGTTCTCCCTGTCTTTCTCTATATGTCTCTGTTTTCATCGTGTTTGACTGTTTGTCTTTTTCAGTCAGTATGTCCGCTTCAGATTTTCTGTCTGTGTTGGTCTGCCTGTTTGTGCTTGTCTATCTGTTTTTGCCTGTCCTGCGTGTCGGCCTCTGTCTGTCTCTGTCAGTGTATCTGCCTGTTTGTCTGTAGTGTTAATCTGTGTGTGAATCTGTTTGTCAATCCGTCTGTCATGTTCCTGTCAGTCTGTCTGTCGGGTTACCTGTGTCAGTTTGACTGTCTGTCTAGATGCCTGTTTGTATGGCTAACTGTATGCCCGACTGTCCTCCTGATTGTCGGTTTGTTCTGTGTCTGATTTTATCTGTTTGTGTCCCCCTCTTTGTCTGACTGTGTTTCTGACTGTATGCCTTTGTGTGTCATGTCTGTTTTGTCTCTGCATGGCTGTCTATTGTCAGCCTATCTGCCTGTTGCTGTCTGTATCTGTGCCTGTCCAGTGTTCGGCCGCTCGTTCGTCTATGTCTGGCTGTATTACTGTCTGTTTTGACTATGTATATCTGTCTTTGTTTGCTTGTTTGTCTGCTTTTCTGTCTGCCTTCGCTCACTCACACACATTCACACAGTCTGACAAAATGGTGACAATCTGACGAAACAGACCGACACATATATGCATGAGACATCCATCATTCGGTCCCCCTTGCCCCGAATGTCGACCTTCCTCCCTCTCTTTCTTTTGCTCACACACACACAGTCACAGGCTGAGGGATCACACGAAGTCCAACACCGGAGTCTAAAGATGTAGAGTCCCGACATTGCGATTCTCAAAAATCTCTTATCTCTTCCATCTACCGTCTCTCTTTCTCTGTGCGCATCGATGCGTGTGGTAATCTCGCCTATTTGTATTTGACAGCCCGTCTGTCATTGTCTGCGTCCTTCTGGCTGTCTATGTCTGTCTGTCAGTTCCTGTCTGTCTGTGCGTGTGTTTGTGGGGTATCCAGGGTGCTCCAGAGTTAAGTCTGCGCGAACAGTGGTGTTGGACACTGTGTCAAGAGTTGTGATGTGTAGGTGTTGATGCACCATAGCTTGCGGACGCGAGTATGCCTCTGAACTGTGACCTTGGTTTCCACATCTTCGAGCCCTGAGCTGGGCGCTATGCGCCAGTGTGATTCACCATCTGTTTGTATGCCTACGAAGAAGCGAAAGCGAGTTCAGTTGCATAACAATAATAATAATAATGATAATAATAATAATAATAGTAATAATAATAATAATAATAATTAATAATAATAATCAAAAAAAATGTAAAAAAATGAGCAATAGCGATCTTTAGAAACTAAGCATCATCACACACACAAGATCGGATAGTCGAACCAATAGCAGAATTGAAACTCGAGTTTTACCGAATAAGAGGACACCGAGAGCTCATAATTAACAATGGCGAAATAGTCCCTCCAGCATCATCAACGAAGAGTCAGAGTTGATATCCTATCTGGCGCTCGGCGCCCAGACTACAGAAGGCAGATCCTATCTTATTTTCACCACAATGCCGCTGCGGACGTCAACAGCTTTCCCGAAGCACGAACACACAGCGACCAATGTCGCACTCTTCCAGCACCGGGTATGTCTCTTTATTCATTCTCAACCTCGTTCCCGAACACAAAGTCGCCACTTGTTCCCAGGGATCAAATCCTGAGATAGTAAGTTAATATTGTTTGAGACCTCTAATAATAATAATAATAATAATAATAATAATAATAATAATAATAATAATAATAATAATAATAATAATAATAATAATAATAATAAAATCACAATGAATGACAATAATCATTAATACCAATAATTAATAATATAGAGGAACAAGCTAACTTACCTGCCTGATACCATCATGCCCGGAGCAACTTCCCTACGTCGTCGATCGACGCATTACACGTCCTACACGTCTCTGCCCTTGCATATGGTAAGCTCCGGATGAAACCAGGTGGGTAACTTCTCCCTTTCTTTTCTTTTTTTTCTCCCCCTTCCTCTTCCTCTTCTACTTCTTCCTCTCCTCCTTCTTCTCCTTCCTCTCCTCCTTCTTCTCCTTCCTCTCCTCCTCCTTCTTCTTCCTCTCCTTCTTCTTGTTCCCCTTCATCCTCTTATCCTTCTTCCTCTCCCTCTTCTTTCTCTTTCTCCTTCTATGTCTGCCTTTCCTTCTTCCTACTGTACCTTCCTTCTACTTCATCATCAGTTCCAGTACTTAGACACGGTTAATTGTACCCCCTCCCCTCTTCTCGTTCTCTCACACACACTCACAAACATAACACACATGTTCACACCTACACACGCACACACGTGTAGTAGTGAGCGTTCTTCACGCACTAGCACATGAGGTAGGTGTGTGGTTGGTCATACACACGCGCACACACAAAAAGGTCCTCCTGTTAATTTGATCGGGATCGAAAGCACTACCGCGGGCGAGGCGAGGGTGCGACAGCTGCAGCATAAGCAGCAGTGTATACCTCCCGAAAGTAGCGGGATATTCCTTCGATTTAGCTCTCCTTCTCGGGGGAAGCCTTCGCGGTTCAAGCCGCGAGAGTGAAAACGTAGCAGCCTTACATCTCTCTCTTTCTCTCGTTCCCTCTTTTTTTTTTTTTTTTTTCTCTCTCTTTTCACGACTTCGTCCATGCTATGATACTACAAAATTTAATAGTAATAATAACAGTATCAATAATAATAACTATAATAAATATATAATAATAATAATAATAGTAATGATAATAATAATAATAATAATCATCATAATGATCAATAGCGAACTTCAGCCATCAGACAACATCATACATATGAGACTTGATAGTCCCGACCTCGAACCAATTGCAGAATTGCATCACGAGGTTCTCCGAATAAGAACACACCAAGAGTTCATAATCGACATAGTCCCTCCATCATCATCAACGAAGAGTCAGAGTTGATATCCTATCTGGCGCTCGGCGCCCAGACTACATGTGGCAGATCCTAACTAGCCTAAACTATAGCGCAGAAATTGACAACAACTTTCATAAATACGAGCATACAGCGGCCAATGCCGCACACTTCCCACACCAGGTATGTCTCTCGCCTCTCTCACAACCTCGATCCCCTACTCACAGAGGCCGCTTCTACCCAAGACCACCATTTGCCTCCTCTCCTTTCCTCTCTCTCACTCTCAAATTCATATACGTACATTCACACATACACGTAGGTGGTGAATATTTTCGTTGGTGTAGTGGAAGGCCCACTCGTTTCTGCTATTCCTTTTCAATGAAGTTCGGGTAAGGCTAGTATTGGGATCGGAGACCTACCTGTTCCTTCTTCCTTGTTCTCTTGTTGTCGCCTTCGTAGTTGTCAGCTTGGTCGTCTCCGCAATCGTCCGCCCGCACGATCTGGTAAGCGCCTTCCTCTTTCCTTCCTCCTTCTAACTCTCTACCTCGCACGACCCCTTCTCCTTCTCCTCTCTCCTTCCTCCTCCGCCTTGCTTGCTCCTTCTATCCGTGTTCTACTCGCACTCACTAGTGCTACCGCCCTATCCTTATGATCACATTGCCTTCTGCACTCACGCGTCGTTCTTCCTTTCTCGCAGCTAATTTTTCGCTCGTCTTCGCTTTGGCTTGCAAGTGCAGATCACACGGTCAACTTCCACCGGCGGACTCTTAGCGTTCGCGACGCCTTTGGCGCCGAAGTGGCGTGTACTATTCCTCTTCCGCACCCTTCAATTCGGTGCCAAGTGCTGACGGCCAAATCATTCCGAGCGACTTGCGCTTACGAGCAGCCCGAGCAAATCGGCCTATGTTTCCTACGGACCGTCGTGGTACGGACTTGTCTTCGGACCCCCGGGTGGTGCGGTTGCTGGACGAGTTCGCCGACATCTTCGAGTCACCTACCGGTGTGGTGCCGGATCGGCCGATCTCTCACGAGATCATTCTTGAGGCCGGTGCCGTGCCGCCGAAAGGTTGCATCTATCGGATGAGCGAGGAGGAGCGCACAACTCGGCGACTTGTTGGTCAAGGGCTGGATCGACTCTAGTAGCTCCCCATATTGAGCACCAGTTCTCTTCGTCCGGAAGAAGAACAAGGATCTACGATTGTGTATCGACTACCGTAAGCTCAACGCGCAAACCGTCAAGAATGAGGGGCCTCTTCCTCGCATCGACGATCTTCTTGAGCGATTGGGGGGCGCAAAGTATTTTTCTAAGTTGGATTTGAAATCGGGATATCATCAAATCTCGATCCGACCGAATGATCGCTACAAATCCGTGTTCAAGACGCGGTACGGGCATTTTGAGTGGGTGGTCATGCCTTTTGGCCTCACCAACGCCCCGACGACCTTTCAAGCGGCAATGGCCAACGAGTTTCGTGCAATGTTGGACCGGTTCGTGCTGGTCTACTTAGACGATATTCTCGTCTATAGTCGGGCATTGGAGGATCATCTTGGACATCTTCGACGAGTGTTGGAGATGCTCCGCCGCGCCAAGTACAAGGCCTGTCTCTTATACACATCTAGATGTGTATAAGAGACAGCCTTTTGGCCTCACCAACGCCCCGACGACCTTTCAAGCGGCAATGGCCAACGAGTTTCGTGCAATGTTGGACCGGTTCGTGCTGGTCTACTTAGACGATATTCTCGTCTATAGTCGGGCATTGGAGGATCATCTTGGACATCTTCGACGAGTGTTGGAGATGCTCCGCCGCGCCAAGTACAAGGCCAACCGCGACAAGTGCGAATTTGTCCGGCAAGAGCTGGAATACTTGGGCCATTTTGTCACACCGGAGGGCATCAGTCCGCTATCGGACAAGATTCAAGCCATCCAAGAGTGGTCGGAGCCTCGGAACATCACGGATGTGCGCTCGTTCCTTGGCCTCGTCGGCTACTATCAGCGTTTCATCAAAGGCTACTCAAAGATCGTGGCCCACTTTACCAAGCTTCAGTACGAGGATCGGTCGTTTGACTTCGGAGAGGAGGCGCGGGAATCATTTTTGGCTCTCAAAGCCGCGCTATTATCTGCAGAGGTCTTGCGCATATACGACCCGCTTTTGCCTACGCGCGTCACTACGGATGCGTCCGGCTATGGCATTGGTGCCGTCCTCGAGCAACACGATGGCGTGGACTGGCACCCGGTCGAATATTTCAGCAAGAAAGTGCCCGTCGTGCACTCCATTGACGATTCACGCAAGAAGGAGTTCCTCGCCTTCGTCCACGCGCTCAAGCGGTAGCGGCATTTCCTCCTTGGTCGAAGCCAATTCCGATGGGTAACGGACAACAATCCGTTGGTCTTCTATAAGACCCAAGACACCGTCAACAGCACCATCGCTCGATGGATGACTTTCATCGACCAGTTCGACTTCTTTCCCGATCACATTCCCGGGAAGTCGAACCGTTTTGCGGATGCTCTTTCACGGCGTCCGGATTCTACCGCGGCCTACTCAACCTTCGAGATCGACGACGACCTGCGGAACAGTTTTATCCGCGGCTACCAAGCCAACCCCGAGTTTCACGACAAGTACGCGAATTGCTCCTCTCCTAATCCGGCGCCTTCTCACTATCGGATCCAAGAGGGGTACTTGCTTGTCCACACACGGGGGAAGGACCTTCTTTGCGTACCGAGTGATCCTCACTTGCGTACACGGCTTCTTGGCGAGTTCCACGATGCTCCTGCCATTGGACACTTTGGAGTCAATAGCACGATTGGCCGACTTCGCGAGCGATTTTGGTGGCCCGGCCTTCTCGGCGACGTCACACGCTATTGCGAGTCATGCGAGGTTTGTCGACGCTGCAAATCCCGCAACCACCGTCCGTACGGCGAATTACGACCATTACCAGTCCCTTTGAGGCGAAGGGAAGCGATTGCCATGGACATTACCGGCCCGTTCCCCAAGCATAAGACCGGGGTGGATGGGATTCTCACGGTGGTCGACCAACTCACCAAGTTCGCCATGTTTTTGCCTTGCCGCTATCATGCTAAGGCACCGGAGTTGGCCGAGGTTCTTTATGCCGGTTGGATTCGAACCAAGGGTTACCCCAAGGAAATCGTCTGCGACCACGACACTCGGTTCATGTCCGATTTTTGGTTGGCGCTCATCAAGCGATGGGGCTCATCTCTCAAGCCCAGTTCAACTCGCTACCCCCAAACCGATGGCCAAACGGAGAGGGTGCACCGGACCGCATAGGTTCTCCTTCACACTTTCATCCGTCCTGACCAGAAGGATTGGGTTGAGCGGCTGTCGGATGTCGAGTTGGCCTACAACTCCTTCATCCAACCGGCTATTGGGATGTCGCCCTTCGAGTTCGAGCACGGCTCACCGGTCACTTCGCCGTTGGGCACTATCACTCCACGAACGGTCGAGAGCGACGCCCATCTTCTTTTCTTGCGTCGGATGCAAGAGCTACTTGTCAAGGCACGCGACCAGATGGCCAAGACGCAGCAACGCATGAGCCAACAGGTCAATCGCCAGCGTCTTCCTTGCCCATTCTGCGTCGGCGATCTCGTTTGGGTCTCCGCCGCGGAATTCAGCCTTGAACAAGACATCTCTCGCAAGCTCCTCCCGAAATGGATGGGGCCTTGGCCGATCGTGGCACCCGCTGGGGATGCACCCGAGGGACCTTCCTTCACTATTCAGGTGCCCGCCTACTTGCCCGTCTACGCAGTCTTTCATTGCTCCAAGTTGGCTCTTTACACACCAGCGGAACATGACGATTTTCCCGGGAGACGTTCGCAAGACCCACCCTCTATAGACGGTTTTCAAGAGGTCGGCGACATCATCTCCCAGCGACGCTACGGCAACAGGCCAACCGAGTACTTGGTACATTTTGCAAACTGCACACATTGAGCTGACCATTGGTTGACCCGTGCGAAACTTCAAGCAACAGCTCCGGACGTTCTCGTATGCTACGAGCGCAAGATGCAAGGCAACCCGGTCTCTTCGGCTCCACGTCGCGCCCGCGTCCAGGTTCCGCCTTCAGCTCGTCAGCTTCACCCTCGCCCCGACTTAACTTCATAAGGAGGGGGGGTGTTACATGCTGCGCCTGCACACGAGGGTCATTTTCCAGGCCCTGCGTCCCTCAGGCCGAAAGCCTGAAATTCAGGCCGAAAGCCTGAAATTCAGGCCGAAAGCCTGAAAACCAGGGCCTACAGGCCGCGTGTCTGTTCAGCTCGAAAGCCTGGAAAACAGGGGCCTACACTGCCCTACAGACCCTATGTCATTTCATACTAAAAATGGCAGTAGCCTTTTTAGCCTGAAACGAAGGGTCATTTCCGGTCTATCATCAGACCGCCCTGCCCTGAAACTCAGGCACTGAACCAGGGTTTTAGGAATAGGCTATTTTTGGCCTGTTCCCACAACAGCTGCAGCGCCAGCCCCTGGCTCAGTTCGGCATTGGCAAGAGCAGCCTCCTGGACTGCCTGCCCTACAACTGCAGGCAGTCGGAGGCAGTCAGGAGGCAGGCCGAGATAGCACATAGGGACTTCCCATGCACTTCACAGGTAGGCAGGAGGCAGTCAGTAGTCTTCAAGATTCGGCAGCAGCACTCTGGAGGGAGCGTTGTAGGAGTAGTAGTAGCGTTAGCATTAGTCTTCAGCGTTGCCAGTGGGCGCCAGTAGGTAGCTGTAGTCTTCAGCGCTGGGCGCCATAGCTAGGATAGTACTAGAGAGAGAGAGATTGGGCGGAGGCCAGGAGTACCTACCTGCAGCGCCGTTGCTCCAGCTTCATCTTCGATGTACCTGCAGCACAGCGCCAACTTCACAGGTTAGTATCTGGCTCGTGAGAGAGAGAGAGTTCTTCTTCTTCCTCTTCTCAGTCCACCATCTCCCTCTCACCCTCTCATTATCGGACTTCACTGCATCAGCAGACTACGAGAGAAAGAGAGAGAGAGAGCTTGGTGACATTGGATCCAGACTCGACTTTTGGGCTTCAGACATTTCGACGAGGGATTATTTGGGACTTGTGACAAAGACTTGGTGTTGACGACACTCCCATCTCTCCCCCTCTTCTTCGTCTGATCCCCTCCTCTTCGTCTGTGTATGTCTGGACCTGGCACTTCCTCCTGTGTAATAGCGCCAGGCTCCTTCACACCTTGTGATGAGCAGGATGTATGTTTGGTCTGCCTTGAAACATTGATTGGGCTAGTCATTAGTATTCTAGCGTTCTGCTTTGCTATCTTGTACTACGTGAAATGGGTCAGTCTCGGTCAGGTCAGGACTTGTATCT